CCGAAAACCTGCTCTATTACAGCCTGGACGAGGACTCCAAGATCATGATCAGTGACTTTGGGTTGTCCAAGATTGAGGGCTCTGGCAGCGTCATGTCTACGGCATGCGGCACGCCCGGCTACGTGGGTGAGTGCCCCTGGGCAGGGCCCTCGCCCCCTCCATGCAGCCGGGGGCCTGGGTAGACGCTGGGCTTTCTGCCAGGCTGGGGGGAGCCAGGGAGGGGCATGGGTCGCGTCTGCCCCTGCTGACGGCCCTGCTCCCTGCAGCCCCGGAGGTGCTGGCGCAGAAGCCCTACAGCAAGGCGGTGGATTGCTGGTCCATCGGCGTCATCGCCTACATCCTGTACGTACCGCAGGGCCGGGGCCCGGCTGCAGCCCCTGCCCCCCGCCCTGCCCTCGGCCCGCGCCCACCGTCCCTGTCTCCGCAGGCTGTGCGGCTACCCCCCCTTCTACGACGAGAACGACGCCAAGCTCTTCGAGCAGATCCTGCGGGCCGAGTACGAGTTCGACTCGCCCTACTGGGACGACATCTCTGACTCGGGTGAGCATGGCCAGGCCCGGCTGCGCCCCCTGCCCTGCCCATCCTGCTGGCACCAGGGCTGGAGGGGGCTCAGGGAGGGGTCGGGGCACAGGGGCTAACGCCTGGCTGGGTGCCTCGACCCCTGCGGCCCCGGCACTGCCTGACCATCTGTGCTTGCTGCCCCGCAGCCAAGGACTTCATCAAGCACCTGATGGAAAAGGACCCGGGCAAGCGCTTCACCTGCGAGCAGGCCCTGCAGCACCCCTGGTAAGGGGGACGCTGCCCCGGGGCCCCTGGGTCCCTGCACCGGGGCAGCCCTCAGGACCACACTGACCCGCCCCCCACCCCACCTGCCCCCAGGATCGCTGGGGACACGGCGCTGGACAAGAACATCCACCAGTCCGTCAGCGAGCAGATCAAGAAGAACTTCGCCAAGAGCAGGTGGAAGGTGAGGGGCGGCCCTGCTGTGCGGTGCTGGGGTCCTGCCCTGGGTGGGGTGTCCAGGGGCTGTCCCGCCCCCCCCCCCCCGGGGGGGCCGGGGGGCCCCTCTGT